GCTCAAAAATGTTGATTTTAGGTCAAAAAAGGTTTAAATGTTGATTTCACGTTAACGCGTGACGGCAAGGAGGTTGATTTCTCTTAGAAACCAGCAAAACGTCAATTTCACGCAACGTATAAGCTCAAAAATGTTGATTTTTATAGGTCAAAAAAGGTCTATATGTTGATTTCACGTTAACGCTTGACGGCAAGGATGTTGATTTCACTCAGAAACCAGCAAAATGTCGATTTCACGCAGCGCATAAGCTCAATGATGTTGATTTCAGGTCTAAATAAGGTAAAATGTTGATTTCAAGTTAACGCTTGGCGGCAAGGATGTTGATTTCACTCAGAAAACAGCAAAATGGTAATTTCACGCAACGTATAAACTCAATGATGTTGTTGTTGTTAGGTCTAAATAGCTTAAAATGTTGATTTGACGTTAACGCATGACGACAGGGATGTTGGTTTCACTTAGAAAACAACAAAATGGCAGGAGCCCATGATGGGCTCCTGAAAATGGTAATTTCACGCAACGTATAAGCTCAAAAATGTTGATTTCAGGTCAAAAAAGTGTAAATAAAAATAAAATAAACATTTCAATAAGCACTTTTCCAAATACGGCAACGCCTTAAATGGCTAAAAATCACGAGATAAATGCATAGTTTTCGACAAACGCGATCGTAGCTTTATGTCACGCACCGCCATAACTTCGAAGTTCAAAATGCGCTGGTACCTCTTATGCCTGATGAGGATAACAACTTTGGTGGCTGTTTAGTTTTGGATTTAAGAATTTGATGACTTCACGTGAATAAAATCAACGCAACGTGGATCACAGATCTATGTTACAATCGATCGCCACTTGTTGGCCATTATTATGTTTAAACAATCTAGTTACCAGTTCGAGAAACGTCCGCAGAACGTAATCGCAATATATGCCGGGAAGGGTCTTTACACCTCGTGCGCGGAAAAACATGGCGGTGACAGTGATATGTGTATCCCCGTGATATGTGTATCCCCGTGATATGTGTATCCCCGCACACATATCACTAGTGATATGTGTATCCCCCGTGGGGATACACAAAACACTGATACGCGCCTGGGCATTCAACGAACAAAATGGCGGCTCGGTTGCGAGGTTCCAGCGAGCACTGTAAGGAGTAGGCGAAACCAGAAATGAATTCACGCCCAACGGAGCAGCTTAGGATTGCTTGAGTTTGGTCGAGTTCCAACCGACTCGATTGTATATCTGACTAAAACTTCGAACATCGGATACACATAGCACTAATTATTTCATGGCGCAGTGATATGTGTATCTCCTAAACACAGCCGTTACATTGGCTATCTACCTGATCGAAAAAAGGGCCAATTATCGCCGAAACGTGCTGGCTGCTTATTCGCGACGACGTTTATACCCAGGTTGAGGTTTGCGGAGTTTCCAACTCGAACGTCTAAATATCTAAACTGAAATCGCGTGCAGGGGATACACACATCACTAATTATTTCATGGCGCAGTGATATGTGTATCCCCATAAACACAACTGTTATAATATAGCGCATCAACCTTGTCAAAACTGCAGGCAATATTAGCACCCGACGTTTTTACAGGGCTTGGGTTTACTGGAGTTTGAAACTCGATTATTCCACTAAAAACGCGTGCACCCGTGCACGGGATAATAAGGGTTCCACATATCACTGATTATTTCACGAACTAGTGATATGTGTATCCCCATGGACACAGCTGTTATATTGGCTTTCTACCCAAGAAGAAAAATGCCCATTACATTTGCATTGTCAAAACTGGCTCGCTAGAAATATTCACACCCGGCATTTATTCATAGCTTGGGATTTCTGGAGTTTCACTGACCTCGGTTGTACACCGTCGCC